TACCTGTTGTATCTGTATATTGCTTCATGTAATTTTTAAATATAAATTTCCCCTATATCACGACGAAGGACATATCATTTTTTAATCTCAGGTAAACATTCTGAATAGAAATATTTCAGCCTTTCACATCCGCCGAATCACGTTGATCCAACATTGCACAAAAAGACAAGTGACTGACGAGTGCCTATGACCTATATTGGACTAGTTTAAAAGACATCTCTAATCTGTAGAAATTGAGGAATCGAAAATTCGAAATATACGACCATTATTTTCAGTATCAGAAGAAATTGAGAAACTGGAAATATATACGACCATTATTTTCAATACTTTGAAAAACTACATTCAAACTAACATAATGTTGGCTAGAACGTAACTTTTGCTTTTTTCGGTCAAATTCCGAATTTGCACTGGTTTTGTTGAAGATAACCTAAAACATAAGGTCCTGTAGGACTTTGCTATTTTGCTTATGTTGATTTAAGCAGCTCTAGGACTGTATCGGTGCGAAGTTGATAAATCCGTTTACAAAATTCTTTTCATCAAAGTAATCGTGTTTGCATATTGATAATATGGATCAATTACAGTGTGAAATCTAAATATAAACAACGTTCAACTCCCTTTTTATAAGTAGCTAGATGTCTTGAGGTACGATATATCGTAATTGTCGAGAACACTCTATGTACAGTGGCTCCTGAAAATATTTTGTAACACTATACAAATTCCACATCTAATAGCTTTCTTGAAATATTTGATGATCATTCAATGACAGAATTACACTTGATGTAAAGACAGAAAAAGCTTATTTATAATTGAATCTTATCTACAAATAGGGCGTTAGTTAACATTTAGTTTCCTTTTATTATCCTGCTCTGGGCCTGTTTACTTAGACCTTAAATGTGTACATATCTGTATTACAAGTTAGCCTGTGCAAACTTTAAAAAAGACAAAAAAATAACTCTAGAACCCCTTTTCTCTAATTAGATACCCACTTCTTGCATCCAATGAAAAATCCTGGTTTCACAGTCGGTGAATGTTAATTTCTCAATCATTTTACAAGTCATGCTAATCATTACGCTAAGATTTTGAATTTAATACAATTACCAATAAAGGACTTTGATCTTGTTCATTCCTTTTCAACTTTGTTAAATTCTCCTTAGATTCCAGAGCAATAACAAAGAACTGGAATGTGTGTATTTACAAATCATTACACTATCTATCCATTCTCCTCTTCTTCCTTTATCTATCAAAGGACCCGCTGGATGAATTTTTTGTTGGTTCTCGACTTTTGCTAAGTCATTTCTCGCACAACAGCAGTGAAATTGCTGAATCTGAATGCTTTTTTTCTTAGCACCGAAAAAATAATTATTTCTGAAAGAATGTTATGGTGTGAGTGAGTATACTTGTTTGATATAGAGAGCATCTTTTTAATTTCTGTTGGGCATTCTGTTCAAATGATACAGTTTAAACAATTCAATAATTGCCTGATGTAAAAATTACTCATACATTTATGATGATACATGTTTAAGTAACATATTCTATTTCTCCCACAAATATTTTAATGGTTTTTCTTCATTCACCATCTTAAAAATTAAAATTCGGAAAATGTGTTTTATGAAGAACTTTTTAGATGACTAACTTCTATTCATCATAAACATTTAGCATCATTGAGTAAAAATTTCTCTGCAGCAAAGCTAAATATTCTAAACAAAATTTGTGTATGCTCGACATTGATCTACGGAAAAAAATGTAAAGAATGAGAGCTTGCTTTAAGTAACCTGCGGACAAAGAGCGCACTGAAACCGGTGGATTATCCATGTTCCTTACAATAGAGCCCAGATATAAGACCCCAGACATTAATTACAAACGAGTCTTCTTTAATGCAACCCGTTGAGATAGAAATGTACATATAGCCCTTGGCCGGACGCGATAAATAAGACGATGATATAGCAGAAACGCTTTCTTTTTTTCTGTTAGATCCCTATTACAATGCGTAAAATAGCGGTCAAAATTGGCGGTCAGGTGACCATGGAACCAGCAAGGGTGACAACTGCACGAAACCAAATGTAGGAATCAATCGAGCGGAAGTTAGACAATTGGTCTCCTGGATAGGTATATAAGTATGCTGGAAACCATATCCCTGGGATCCTTACTTTCCATACTTATGATAGCAGTTATACTTATCTGGTACAGAATTTGAAGGGGTGTGGATTTCGTCCTCGCGTGAGATTCTATGGTGTTGTGTTTCAAACTGGAGAAAACTACAATTTCTCTTCTCGAGAAGATATTTGTAGGTCGTCTTTAACATGTTGTATTACCTATATGCCCGGAGTATATTCTTTGGAAGCTACCATTGCTTTTTTGTCAAAATTATATCTTATTTCAAATGCATTCACGGGTTCACTATTACACGCTAAAATATGTAAAGCATACATTTAAAAGATTTTCATTTTGGTCTTGTATTGTTGAATGTGTTTTCTTGAAACGAGGACCTAATAAAATCAAGCATAAAAATAATGTGGAGTGTTTGCGTCAACACACGATTTTTTTCAACCATAACATCGCTTCACCTGGTAATTATGTTGCTTTCTCATCCTTTAATACCGAATTCCAGTAAACAAAATGTAAGAGATATGTTTAGGAAAATTATAACACATTTAGTATTTTATTGTTTGGCTAAATCTGAACTTACCACCCAACACTAAGACCGATTATTTTTCAAATAATCATCACTATGAAACTTAACACTTTGCAGAGATTGTACTGATAGCGAATTAGGTTCTTTTCGTTGTTGCGTTCAACAGATGTGTTTTAGTGTACAGGGGCTGTGATCGAAAGAGTCCATCCTTAGACACTTCTATCTCACTGCCGAATTAAACCCAGGTCATTGCATTCTTCTTAGAGATAGTTATCGCGTATTACGTGACAAATTATGGTAAGGGGATATATTTATTGTATATATTATATGTATATATTATATGAAATGCTCACTCTTAAAAAAGTTTTACTTAGTAGTCATTTTTTACTTGAAATAACAAAGATAAGTAATAGATAATTACTAAGCATTTACTTAGAATTTTAAATCAATTACTGAAATATATGTCATTTACTAGATTCAAATGTTTTACTTGATTTTTGTATTTTAAAGAATTGTTTTACTTACACACTAAAAAGTTTTACTTAGTAATTTATATTTACTTAAATTTGTGTATATAAGTAATAACATTACTTGGTCTTTACTTACATTTTACCACTATTTACTATATAATTAATATTTTAATGCCCCCGTAAACAAAGTTTCGGGCGTATATAGTTTTTGTCGTGTCCGTCTGTCTGTCTAGCTGTCTGTCTAGCTGTCTCTCTGTTTGTCTGTTTATCCACAGAAACTTTTACCTTGCCCATAACTTTTGATTTAGCGGAGCTATGACTTTCATATTTCACACGTGTATTCCTTGTGACAAGACCTTTCTTTGAGTATCACCAAATTTGACCTTGACCTTGAAGTTTGACTCACTTATACACAAAAAATCCAAACTTATTCTTTATCCAAATCTTTTGAACAGTAAATACCAGGACATGTATACTTCACATATATATTTTTTGTTGAAAGAACTTTCATTGAATACCAACAACTATGAAATTTTGACCTTGACCATGGGGATTTCCATCCTTGGGAAAAAAACTTTAACCTTAGCCATAACGTTTGAACGGTAAGGAATAGTGCTTTCATACTTACATATATGTAATCATTTTGAGAAGACCATTCATAGGATACCAAGAACTTTGACCCTTTGACCTTGACCTTGGAGTTTGACCCACTTTTAAAAAGCAAACCTTGACTCTAACTTTAAAAGGATTAGGGTCAGTGCATTCATACTTTACATAGTTCATCCTTGTGACAAGACCATTCTTTGGGTACCACCAAATCTGTCCCTTTGTCTTTGACCTTGGCGTTTGACCTACATTTCAAAATTGGTAACCTTGACCTTAACTTCTGAAGGGTTAAGGCAAGTGTTTCCATATTTCACATATGTATTTTTTTTTGGCAAGACCTTTCATTAGATACCAATAACCTTGACCTTTTGACCTTGGAGATATCAAGAAATCCCAATAATTTAAATTTGCATTTAAGAAAAGTTTAACCTTTGAAATGTTGCCATACAGGGGCATAGGTGTTTCACAAACACATCTCGTTTGAATTGTATTTAATTGATTTACTTAAAACAAAAATTTATTTACTAAATCTAGAATTCAGATCAGTAATTACTTAAATATGGTAGTCTAATCACTAATTGTCTGTGAGGAGGAGTTATCTTTCTTCTAAATATTCCTTCATGTGAAAAAAAAGTCACACTAATAAAAATGCGACATTCTTGAAATGTTTAACCATTTTTAAAATGGTCCTTAAAAAAGTCACACTAATAAAAATGGTACTTGAAATATTTTTAAAATGAAACTTATTCAATTTTTAAGGCTTTCGAAGTATTACAAAGAAATTGGCAAAAGAAATAGAAAGTATAATTGTTTCCATCATGAGTAGATTTCTTCTATTAAACTATTCAGAGGGCCCAGTTAGGGAACTCTGAATTAAAGAAATCTGTGAGTAGTACTCACATGTCAGAGGGTCGGTACCTTGCAGTGTTTCTAGTAAATAATGTCGATTTTAGTAAATATGATAAGTATTTCATTTACTTAGTATTCTTTTGAGTAATAATATTCTAGATTTTAATTAATTTCAGAATTACATTTACTTAGTAATAATTCATAAAATTTAGTAAATAGAAAGCATATTATCTCTAAATTAAGTAATAATAATTTAACAAAAATGAGTAGTTCATTTACTAACTTTAAGTAATACAATTCCTATAATTTAAGTAATTCTATTGATACTTAGTAAATCATTTTATAAGTAAATGAATTCATCCTTATTACTAATTATGTTTACAATTACTAACCATGATAGTCATTTACTTGCTATTCTGACTAAATGGATTACTAATAATTACTAGTTTTTCTTAATCTAATATCTTATTTTAAAAACAACAAGTAAAACTTTTTTTAGAGTGCTCTTCTGAAGCATTCTGGCCTGAGAATGTGGATTGTTCTTTTGCATATATTACAATAGGAGGATTTATGTCTATCATATCATATATAAAACTCAAGGTTATGGAGCATTAAATGATTTAGCATTTAGGTTCAACATTTTTACCGGCAAGTTTGTGATGGTAACACACTTGAAGGTGATTGCAATATTTTAAGTACGACTTTCCCGGGCTTTCAAACGAACAATTTTTCCAAATAACTGACTATAGGCAATTGCAATGTTTCAAGTGACTTTACTAAAGTTTTAAAATGCTGATTTCTATACATCTTTGTCATGGTGATTCGGTACGGGAATGATCTAATCTTTAGTGCATCGAGTACTCGGTCATTATTAGAGAAACACGGTGTCTACTACATGATGATGGATTTTAAACAATCACTGGCAGTCTATAGTGCACAGTCAGAATTTGTATCACGATTACCAATATGTTTTCCAAATGAATCATACATAAAGCAAACAACCTTATAGACACCTTTCATTGCAAAAATGTATGCCCATTTAAGAACAACACCTTTTAACAACATTACAACAATGTTTCTGGCAAATTTTGCATATAATTAAAATGTTAATGAAAGCGATGAGATGGAAGCTATAAGGAAGGTGTCGTATTCTGATTGATCAACTTGTCGTCTGATGGATCATCAGTGCACACTTTTACAAAACCCATACCTTATTTAAAAAACAAAACAGTGCAACACTGAGGACCCGACAGTGACCAACACGGATCTCAAGAAATGGACCTCTTACAAAAGTCCACAGTTGTAAACGGGAACACACAAACTTACGGCGATGTAAAGAAAAAAGAAATCATCGTAGATTATTATTTTATTCATTAGATAATAGGGAACCGTGTCTCTTACGGGACCTTACCCCTTACTATACAGCCGTTTAATAAACGACTGTTGAAATTTAATTTTTTGTTTAGAACGTTTCCTCTTGAGTCGAAAAGTATGATTTGATCCCTGCGTGGCAGGACGTTTAGACCAGGCCCCCAGATGAGACTGTATAAAGCAAGGTACCATGTAGCAGTAGGTCATTGCACGAAAAACAGCCTTCGCTGCTGAATGACAGTAAGTGCCTATAGTGCAAGACTAAATTCGTACCCCTCTATCGCCAAGCGGTGGCGTTTCAAAATGAGTGTAAACTTCTCGAAGGAAAGTTGAACAAACATATAAAAAATTTAAACATTTTAAAAATAAATATTGCCCTTCATATTTGAAAGTAATAACGCGGCTTTTTGAAGGTCTGGTCATGATCTTGTAGTATATAAATATTTAGCTCACCTGAACGGAAAATATGCTATATGTACCGGTCGGGTATTTGCTTATTAAAATGAAAGGTCTTGGTGCTCTTAATATCGCCTTAAGGTAGTCCGTTCCTCAGGTTTATAAAATTATCAGTTAAGTAATCAAAACAACTCATAAAAGTATCTATGAATTCACAATATTACATAAATTTATCCACAGTATTTCTTTAAAGTTAAATATTAAAGTAAATCATGTTATATAGGGAAAATTATCAAATCTCCAATATTTTTGCAGAAAATGCGAATTGGAATATCAGCAATCCATTTTCTAATTGCAAATTGATCAACAAATATATTTTAGGTTAAAAAACGATATGTATCCAGGCAATCAGAGAAATTGTCTTGATTTTGATAGTTATTTGGTATTTTTTGTCCTCTATTTCCGTCATTTTTTCTACAATACATAGTGAAAAAGGCTTTTGCTACCATTGCAAGACACCACAAATCATTTCTTATTTCATATCATGCTAATAAGCATTGGTATCTAAGGCTGGATTCAAGAGAATCTTATTTCTCTAAAACTGTATTTATTTGTTTTCCTTTTATAGGGTACAAATGTAAACTTTGATAAGACCTTTACTAAGACTTCTAAAAATCTTGAATCTTATAAAGATGCATAATATGAAAATTGTTGCATGAAAAAAAAATCATTTTGAAGCTTCATTATGATGCATTTCAAATTAAATATCAATTTTTGGTGTTATCCTTCCTGGCTGAGGATCGGATATCCTTAACCCAGTGTTTATGATTTGACAAACTTTAATCTGCACCACCTTATCATGTTAAATAATTAAGTCACTACTTTTATGAGGAGCTTTTTATAACACAATGAGTTTATGAATATATCTTAGTAAGTTGTGCTATTTTTTAAAAGAAATAAATGTCGATTAATGGCAATGGTTATTGATTTAGAAATAAAATGGTACAGTTTGATTTTTAAATACTCGGTAACTTACTTAAATGCTTTAAAAATGTGTTCTTTGTTGAATTTCTAGAACTTTCAACAAATAGCGAGATCGGACATAAACGGAAAGGATTTGCACATTTTGTCTTTTAATCAATGACCAAAGTTTATTTCTTTTATATCAATTAAATCAAGTTTTGATTGAATAATTCATAAATGACGTTTTATGAAATAAATAAGCGCTTGCTTGTTGTCAGTTTTTTTTAATGCCAGTTACTTAGATCCGCCACCCCTTTTCTCTCTTCAGTGCTATTTCGAAGCTGTTATTCGAAAATGAAAGTAAACTTTTAATTTTTACGATAATTACTATGCGAGTGAAATCTGAATCTAATTTACGGACATTACCTTATACCTAGTGTATTCCTACAGACTTAAGGAAGAGTTTATTTGCAAAATTTGTTAATTTATAAGTATAGATTTTTCCATCTACAAGTATTCCTTTGCACAACTTTGACCTTTTATTTGGCACCAACCTATCCCTTAAGGTTAGTTGGAGAAGCTTAAATCGGAAGCTTTATACATATATTTTTTCTGACCCAGTACTTCTTGAGCAGAAATTTCAAATGACCTCACCCACTTTTCACCCATTCATAATTATCTCCCATGTATACAGGGTATGGTCCTTCATTTGAACTAATCCTTTTCATCCAAATATGCCCTGTGACAAGTTTGGTTTAACTTGGCCATTGGATCTGGAGACAGTAAAAAGGCGAAAAGATGACGACAGGCCATGGACAAATACTGAACAGAAAAGCTCAAGTGAGCTAAAATGAGTGGATTGGGTAGTGGATATAACATGCAACTCTCCTGATCCAGACCAAGGCTAGTATATGCAGGAAGTTACTGTTAACAGTCCATCTTTTGACCTGCTACCGATCATGTCGCGGTGTCTTCAATAAAGGCATTCTCTATTATTGTGTTTAGGGGGTCAGTTATGTCGATACGTTCATTAAAGTTCAGTCAGGGTTGTATATTCCATTCGTGCATTTACCTCTTTTTAAATGGAAAAATAATTATTTCTTGTCACTTTAATTAAATGCTAGCATCTGCTACCTACGCTTACGTTACGAAGAACAGAAATTGGATTTATTTCGATATATATTGCCCTTAAACACGAATATTGTTACCTTTTAAGGAATTCTTCGTGAGTAATTAGACGATATTTTCAAATAAAAATTCAAATGCGATGAGTATTCGCGTGTTTTCAAAACCGTCTTCATTAGACGTTTCTTCAAATAAGGGTTATATTTAAAAAAGTTTAGAATCACTTTGTTTGTTTTTCTTGTGAATGTCTTTAGTTTTTTTTTTTGCAATGTTTTTAATGAATCTAAAAAGGAAAGTTGTTGTTAGATATCAATGTACGTGATTCAAATAAAACAATATGGAGCGTTGCTTGCAAAAATCATAGTAGTATCAGCTTTTGACCTCGATCCAAATGACGTCACTAGCGTTGCGCACAAGGACAAACACACACGCACAACTCCTCCAACTCCGTTGCGATGGATAATTACGCTGATATTACTCTATATTTATGCATTATTGTGTTTCCTGATTTAGCTTTTCAAGAACTAAAATACTGACGAACCCGAAAAGTAAGACGTTTGATCCGAATAATCAGTTAAAACAAATTCCTACACTCTAACATTTTTTCGATATGTCAACTAGAAGTTAGAATAATATTGCCTAAGGAGGAATATACATTGTGTAATTAAATTTGACATGCTTTATTAAATGATTTGGAATCGAAAGTACATTGTCGAAGGACTAGAAGTTGGAAAAAGGATAGGAAGTGCGGAGCACTTGCAAATCAATAAAAGAATAAAAATAGAAAAAAACAAACATTATTCAATAAAAATATAAAAGCACCTGAGGACGTTTTTGCATTATCCTTGTACAAAGTATGCATAAAACATAACTCTATAGATATTCATTGTTAAAGACCATGTAGCAGTGAGCCAAGGTGGTATTTTTGAGCAGGTTTGAATCGGGTGCATCGTGTCAAAGTGGCCATAAATCTGATTGAACGTAAACCATCAATTACCGCCTAATTACAGTGTTTAGACCTCCAGTACGAACAGTAAAGACATGGTTTGGGCTGTCATGAATTCATCACCCGAAATCTCAGATTTCTTATATATTAAGTGTTTACATCCCAGAAGCTTAGAATACCTGGTATTATTGTTCATTTGTTCATTATATATGTATGTAAGCTGTACAATGGAGAGATGATTCAATAAGTAGAAAAATGTGACTTTTTGGCAAAAGAATGTTGAAAAGTTTTTTGAAGAGGGGTCAATATATGTGAAAAGTGATTGTGAACTTTTTCCATAGATTATTGAAAAAGTAAGAAAAGAAAAATTCCAGCACAAAAATGTATGGGGAAAACCCAGTATGTTAATTGTTAAACGGAAGTCTATATGCTTGACTTGAAAGACAGGAATTTATTGATTAACAAGAGTTTATTGGTTGACGGCAATAAAATGACTGGAGGTAAAGGTGATGTATTTATGACATTTGCTGATTGACATGTTGAAATATTGGAGTATAAGTTACATTTCAAAGAAGCTTAAAATATTATTTAAAAAATTGATAATGAATCATGAATGTCACGCTGTTATTCGAATTTCAATCATAATTTATATAAAGAGTATATTTAACCACCCTCCTATGTGTAGAATCTTTGTAAATTATTTGTA